TCCATAATTTAAAAGAAAATAATATTTTCATCAATTCTACAAACATTCACACATATCTGATAACACACTTAGATGAAATTGTATGAATTTGTTCTGCAAATGGTCAAAACCCAAAAAATCACCTAAAATCACATGTTGTGTTAAATTGGTATCTTTGACCGATCATAGCACACAAACGAACACATCGACATACAATTTTTTTTTGCATTTTCTACTATGCCATTAACTCCTTTTTCCAAAAATCCATATAAGAAAAAAAGTTTAATACAGGAAATTTTTGACTTCTCAGAGGTGTACATCATTAAGAGGAATAACTGACTTACAGTGACCAGCTGTTGTTGGCTTGCTGACATGTAAATTCTCGAACGATATTGATGATGTCGGAATCCGTGTGGAAATAAAGCCCAAAATCTTTTAGTAAGGAACTTTGTTTTGACTTTTGCAGTTTTTTTTGTATATGTTGAATATGATGATATATATTATATTCAATAGCACAAAGTTTATAAAACAAATTATTATACCTCTACTTATTTTACACAGAGTATACAAAAGTAACCACATAAACAAGCTATTTCCCCTCTAACTGCATGCCAGGGAAATAGTTCGTCTGGAGGGTTGCGATAGTTTTGAAACTATTTCCCTTGGAAAATGCGGGAAATTGAGTGACGTCGTGGGCGGGGCCTGACCGAATACTGACCAATCAGCGCAATCAAATTACGTCGGCAATTTCCGGCCAGCGGAGCCGGTACTTTCTGGACCGACCTTCACCTCGCATTGTTGTTGACAGACGGCAACAGAAATTGCAACCCCCAGGTTTTCTGTGTTGGATGAGAGCGAGTTGTCGGACATATTGGAGGCAAAAGACAGTTGGAACACAAAAAAAACAGCACAGGCATCCGTTACAATGCTCTCTAGCTACCTCCCTGAAAAGGGTTTGGATATCGCGGACATGGAAACAGGTACAGTGGAGAATTGTGATGCGATGCTGAGGCGTTTTTATGCCGAGCTTTGAAAGCAGGATGGGAAAAAATATGCCAAAAAATCTACGGTGACTATGCGGTTTGGTATACAGAAACATTTTATCAAGACCAGGATCGCTAATTTTCAAGCAGAAACTGTGATTTATTGTTTATTGTACATGCGATATCCTTTATTTCATGTTATTGCAAATACTGTTTTTTTCTGATGTTGATTCTCAAGAAAAGTTTAGTTTTGTTAATAAAGTGTCCCAATTGTTGAAAATTTGTTGTCTCGGTATAATAAAACAGTTGAAGTATGGGTATTTCGGGATATATAGCAAGTTTATGATCCCCCTCAACCAGGACTCAGGGGATTATAAACTTGCTATATCCCTCATACCCTTACTTTAACTGTTAAATATCACATAGTTGAGATAAACTGAAGAAGCAGATTTTACTTAAAATTTCGAAATTTAGTTTGACAGGCCAATTTTCACAGCAACCACAGTACTACCGGGCAATGATGTTCAATTTAAACTTTGAACTGTGTATTTGGATGGGTTTGTAAAAATAAGGATAATAGTTGTCTATGTTCATTTACATTTGAACTTTTTGATAATGTAACAGAATCTTGAAACTTGCATTTAATAAGAGGACAGAAATAATCAGCTGTGAAATTGCAGAAAACTGTGTTCAGCATTTGAACTTTTAAATTACATATTTCAGCATTCAGAACAAAGACTTTTTCCATCTTCTTCAGGACATGCCCCTTATATTTACCGGTCATTCTCTTTCACTTTCGTAGTGAAATTATATTTGTAAAGAAACACTTAGCCGGACATCATATTTATCAAAGTTTCTAGCAATGAGCTAACCATACAAACATGACAGGTCATATGTTTAGTGCTAACTCTACTGACAGTGTGTGTATCAACTTCACGAGAAATATTTGATGCTGAAGCCTACATAGTTGCGCAGTGGTTAATTTAAGACTAAGAATGTCAGGAAAATGGTTCACCAATTGATCATTAAAAAACGTGATATCTAGAGGACTTTCCGTAAATTCACGTCCCACGCCGTGAGACTTTATCGGAGGTGAAAATCCGTGAGATTTTGCCTCATGCCGTGATATCTGGCATGTATGTTTTAATTATTTTTTTATTGTTGTTGAAAAAATATCTGCCCAAACAAGGAAGAGAAAATCAAGAGCTGTAGGACAAGATTGATTGATAGGTTTTACGTCCGCTTCACTACCGGATGTATCGGTTATCCAGCAGACGAAGAACAGAAAGGAAAAAGAGTAGAAGGGATAAAGTATGGAGTAAAGAGTAGAAGAGGGGGATAGATTAGATAAAGAGCCGTCTATCCTATATATATTAACTGTCTAGTTTTTGTGAGACGACTCCTATGCCTAATAACGCCTTAACCTAACACTCATTGTGAAGCATCACCAATTCTGGACCGGAAGTGAGGTACTGTGCCGCCGTCAGCCCCATCAGCCCCGCCTAGGTTTTATACAAAACAGCATATCATTTTTGTAAAAAGTGCTAATAGTAAAATTACAGGATGTCCCATCTTAGATGATAGATCAGGAAACTAGAACTAGTCGATGGCACACTCCCGCTATCCCCCCAAAGTAACCCATAACACACCCCCACACACCTCGATTACCATATGCAAAAATAAATAACTGTTGAATGTAGAACACGTGGTTATGTTTGATTTGCTAAAAGACTATATAAAAAAAAAAATGACCCCCATGACTCCAACCCTCTGGCCTGGTTCCTAGGGGTCATATCAAAATTCTGAAAGTTTGGTGAACTTCCCCATACATATATCTACCATGTCTAAAAGTTCCTACTTCAAACAGTGTAGAAAGTTATATTTCCCCTTATCCCTCAAGTAATATTTGAACCCACCCCTTCTGGCCCGGCCCCTGGGTGTCATATCAAAAATCCAAAAGTGTTGTGCACTCCTCAATGCATATATCTACCATGTCTAAAAGTTTCAAGTTCCTAATTCAGAGGAAATGTCGTTTAAAGGCATACCATCAAATTTACCCCTTTTGGCCCTGCCCATCTGTCCCCTGGGGGGTCAGGGACTTTATTTGTACAATCTTGAAATGTTTCCCCTAAAGATACTCCCTGTAAAATTTGGTTGAAATCTGCCAAATAGTCTAGGAGGAGATATCGTTTAAAGGCATACTGTCAAATTTACTCCTTTTGGCCCCACCCACCTGTCCCCTGGGGGGTCAGGGAATTCGTTTGTACAATCTTGAATCCCCTTCCCCTAAGGATGCTTCCTGCCAAATTTGGTTGAAATCTACCCATTAGTTTCAAAAGAACTAGAACTTGCCCTAAAACTTTAACCTGTAGAACTTTAACTTTAACTTTAACCAATTCCAAAAGACTTGTGTTTCGGACCAATAGTGAGCAAATGTAGTCCAATTTGTTGCTAAGGAACCTCCAGGCAATTGCTGTAACCATATTACAATGTAATATTAATTAAAAGCGGAGTTGAACACCAAAACACAGCTTGCCCAAATGTTTTAACCAAGTGGGACAGCGACGCCGACGCCGTGGGTACTTCTATATATATAGCCCCACTATTCTTTGAATAGACGAGTTAACAAAATGCTTACAAATTTTGTACTTTCAAGATTTATAATTCTTAACTGGATAATGACATTATAATGGGCAACATATATACGTATGCAGACTACAGGAAGTGTAAGTATACTAAATAATGTGTTTTATAGTGAGGTGAAGTATAGTAGGGTGCTGTGGGTACATATTTGTGTCAAAGCTGGGATCAATCTAGACTTGATTCACTGACATTTATGGGTAGTTTCCCCTGAAGAAGAAAAATCCCCTATTCTTAAAAATTCCTCCTGTGTGCTTCAAAATTCCCCTATTTCAACAAGAAAATAGCGGGGTTTCTTCAAAATATTTCCCTGATATTATGAAAAGTTCATTTTACACAACCAATAAGATTTTCTATGTGACGTCACAGGGAAAATGTTATTGGTTGTTTAAAAAGGACTTTTATTTATCTTTTACCTTCATGAAACTAGAGTCTTGTATCAACATTTTAATTTCACCCCAATCTGAAAAAGGATTGACTCCCCTAAAACCTAGATTGATCCTACAAAGTTAGGTGCTGTGAGTAAATATAAGACCACTCGGAATCATTGAATGTAGAACACTGTAAAAAAGGAACAAGAACAAATAAAATGCAATTAAAAACTAATAATACATGCATGAACACTGGCAATAAAACTTGTGTTTTAAGCAAACTTCAAGCACACCAAGTAGTTCAGGTTGGTAAGTTAATGAACAGGAAATATAAACTGGAACTTATGATGTCAATATGTCTGAAGCATGTAGGCAACATTATACAGGTTTCTGCATTTTATCTAATTCCATGTTTTTTTTTCCCTGAATAGATAAATCTGTGTATTTAGGTATGAATGCCTTCCAGACCATAGACCAGGATGATCAGTGGTCGTGTTAGTATTACAAGGCATCACAAGTGATACCAATCCCCTCGCATTCACACATTGTGACATATGTAAAAGGAAATGAAGTCGCTAGAGCGATGACAAAGCTATGTCTAAAAATAGTAACAGTGCCCTAGACCTTCAACATAGAAACCTGAAACAAGAACTTGTTGAAGGCGTCGCCATACCAAAGAGTGTAACATACGTATACGGACCGAATCCTATATCCCCTCATTCATTTTATACATAAAGTGTTGATAAAAAGAGCACAATGTAGATATGATTGATGTCAAATGCAACATCATATATTATTTACCACTTTACATTAACTTAAGTCATAATTAACACACGTGTTTAAGCATGATAGATTTGCTTAAAAATTTGGATAAAATTTAATGTCATAAATAAATTTAATGTCATAAATAAATTCATATAATATTGACCCTTCACCAAATATTTGAGCTGAGCTACTGATGAGTAATGTATATAGCTGATCTATTGCTATGGAAACTAAATATATATAGAAGCTAAAAAGTACTCACCATTCCCATGGTGCCGAGGTATCAGATGGGATTGCTCTTCAGCTTGTTGCCCCTCCTCAATCATCATAATTAACTTTTAACTTGAAAAATACCTAACCTTTCACGGATGTAGAAAGCTCCATAGATACTATACACCAGGTACACAATCTACAAAAACATCATTACACACACTGATTGAAATGTAAGGAAAAGGATGGAACAATTCATTGAGAACACATTATGTAAATCTAGATAAATGATAATTTTATTGTAAGTTAAGTTCTTATTTGTTTAATGTAGTCATATCCTTTCCTTTTGAATTAAACAAAAAGAAAAAAATGCTGTCTTTTATTTGAAATAAGAGCACCAGAATAAACACTATACACGTATATGATTCCTATCTGGAGGAGGACACAAGAACCCTTATTCCCAATAATAAATGATAATAATAATATACAACATTTGATATAGCGTCCTATCTAGCTAACATAAGCCACCCTAAAGCGCTTTACAGTACATAGATATACAACTAATACAATTAGCACATACATTAATGGATACAATTTTGAGGAATTTGCAGGAGCTGCCTTATCAGGTGCTAATTATTAGTCCTATGCCACCTGGCTAATATCTCCATATGTGTGTATGCCTGCTGGAGATGTGATGTGTTCTGTTTGTTTGGGGACCGTGCTTCCAACAACATCATTTATAGTGCCACCTCACTTGAATGCTACAGCACAGAAACCGCAACATCCACCCGAGACCAATTTATACTCCACCTGGGTTGTTGGAGTTGTGTTGGCAGGAGAAAAACCCTTTCTCTGAATATCCATATGTACGACGACCTCAAGGATCTAACCCCTGCGTAGAAGGTCGGTGTGTTAACCACGGCGACCTCAAGGATCTAACCCTAACTTAGAAGGCCGGTGTGCTAACCATGATGACCTCGAGGATCTAACCCCTGCTTAGAAGGCCAGTGTGTTAACCACGACGACCTCGAAGATCTAACCCATGCGTAGAAGGCCGGTGTGTTAACCACGACGACCTCAAGGATATAACCCCTGCGTAAAAGGTCGGTGTGTTAACCATGATGACCTCGAGGATCTAACCCCTGCGGAGAAGGTCGGTGTGTTAACCACGGCGTCCTCAAGGATCTAACCCTAACGTAGAAGGCCGGTGTGTTAACCATGATGACCTTGAGCATCTAACCCCTGCGTAAAAAGCCGGTGTGTTAACCACGGCGACCTCAAGGACCTAACCCTAACTTAGAAGGCCGGTGTGTTAACCATGATGCCCTCGAGGATCTAACCCCTGCATAGAAGGTCGGTGTGTTGACCATGATGACCTTGAGGATCTAAACCCTGCGTAGCAGGCCAGTGTGTTAACCACGACGACCTCAAGGATCTAACCCCTGCGTAGAAGGTCGGTGTGTTAACCACGACGCCCTCTAGGATCTAACCCCTGCGTAGCAGGCCAGCGTGTTAACCACGACGACCTCGAAGATCTAACCCATGCGTAGAACGCCGGTGTGTTAACCACGACGACCTCGAGCATCTAACCCCTGCGTAGAACGCCGGTGTGTTAACCATGATGACCTCAAGGATCTAACCCCTGCCTAGAAGGCCGGTGTGTTAACCACGACGACCTCGAGGGTCTAACCCCTGCGTAGAAGGCCGGTGGGATCTAACCCCTGCGTAGAAGGCCAGTGTGTTAACCACGACGACCTCGAGCATCTAACCCCTGCGTAGAAGGCCGGTGGGATCTAACCCCTGCGTAGAAGGCCGGTGGGATCTAACCCCTGCGTAGAAGGCCGGTGTGTTAACCCTATGACCTTGAGGATCTAACCCCTGCATAGAAGTAACCACGACGACCTCGAGGATCTAACCCCTGCTTAGAAGGCCGGTGTGTTATCCACGACGACCTCGAGGATCTAACCCCTGCGTAGAAGACCGGTGTGTTAACCACGACGACCTCAAGAATCTAACCCCTGCGTAAAAGGCCGGTGTGTTAACCATGATGACCTCGAGGATCTAACCCCTGCGGAGAAGGTCGGTGTGTTAACCACGGCGTCCTCAAGGATCTAACCCTAACTTAGAAGGCCGGTGTGCTAACCATGATGACCTCGAGGATCTAACCCCTGCATAGAAGGCCAGTGTGTTAACCACGACGACCTCGAAGATCTAACCCATGCGTAGAAGGCCGGTGTGTTAACCCTATGACCTTGAGGATCTAACCCCTGCATAGAAGTAACCACGACGACCTCGAGGATCTAACCCCTGCTTAGAAGGCCGGTGTGTTATCCACGACGACCTCGAGGATCTAACCCCTGCTTAGAAGGCCGGTGTGTTAACCACGACGACCTCAAGGATCTAACCCCTGCGTAAAAGGCCGGTGTGTTAACCATGATGACCTCAAGGATCTAACTCCTGCCTAGAAGGCCGGTGTGTTAACCACGATGACCTCGAGGATCTAAAACCTGCGTAGAAGGTCGGTGTGTTGACCATGATGACCTTGAGGATCTAACCCCTGCGTAGCAGGCCAGTGTGTTAACCACGACGACCTCGAAGATCTAACCCATGCGTAGAAGGCCGGTGTGTTAACCATGATGACCTTGAGGATCTTACCCCTGCGTAAAAGGCCGGTGTGTTAACAACGACGACCTCGAGGATCTAACCCCTGCGTAGAAGGCCGGTGTGTTAACCATGATGACCTTGAGGATCTAACCCCTGCGTAGAAGGCCGGTGTGTTAACCACGACGACCTCGAGGATCTAACCCCTGCGTAGAAGGCCGGTGTGTTAACCACGACGACCTCGAGGATCTAACCCCTGCGTAAAAGGCTGGTGTGTAAACCATGATGACCTCAAGGATCTAACTCCTGCGTAGAAGGCCGGTGTGTTAACCACGATGACCTTGAGGATCTAACCGCTGCGTAGAAGGTCGGTGTGTTAACCATGATGACCTTGAGGATCTAACCCCTGCGTAGAAGGTCGGTGTGTTAACCACGACGACCTCGAGGATCTAACCCCTGCGTAGCAGGCGGGTGTGTTAACCACGACGACCTCGAGGATCTAACCCCTGCGTAAAAGGCCGGTGTGTTAACCATGATGACCTCAAGGATCTAACTCCTGCGTAGAGGGCCGGTGTGTTAACCACGATGACCTCGAGGATCTAACCCCTGCGTAGAAGGTCGGTGTGTTAACCATGATGACCTTGAGGATCTAACCCCTGCGTAGAAGGTCGGTATGTTAACCACGACGACCTCGAGGATCTAACCCCTGCGTAGAAGGCCTGTGTGTTAACCACGACGACCTCGAGGATCTAACCCCTGCGTAGAAGGCCGGTGTGTTAACCACGACGACCTCGAGGATCTAACCCCTGCGTAAAAGGCCGGTGTGTTAACCATGATGACCTCAAGGATCTAACTCCTGCGTAGAGGGCCGGTGTGTTAACCACGATGACCTCGAGGATCTAACCCCTGCGTAGAAGGTCGGTGTGTTAACCATGATGACCTTGAGGATCTAACCCCTGCGTAGAAGGCCGGTGTGTAAACCATGATGACCTTGAGGATCTAACCCCTGCGTAGAAGGCCGGTGTGTTAACCATGATGACCTTGAGGATCTAACCCCTGCGTAGCAGGCCAGTGTGTTAACCACGACGACCTTGAGGATCTAACCCCTGCGTAAAAGGCCACTGTGTTAACCACGACGACCTCATGGATCTAACCCCTGCATAGAAGGCCGGTGTGTTAACCCTACGACCTCGAGGATTTAACCCCCTGCGTAGAAGGCCCATGTGTTAACCACGACGACCTCATGGATCTAACCCCTGCGTAGAAGGCCGGTGTGTTAACCCTATGACCTTGAGGATCTAACCCCTGCGTAGAAGGCCGGTGTGTTAACCACTTGACCAATCCGTCCATAATGCCAATGCTCCGGATCAAAGCTAAGGACCAGAGTTACCAACTACTGTACATGTGTATTCTGTCAGTCTGATCTTTTATTAAAAATGTACTATCAATTTTCTAATATCAACCTGATCAGGTTAAACTTCAGGAATTTTTAACTTTAAAAGTTGTGTGTTGACAACCTACATGTTGTGTGACGTTCATCTCAGCTTATCATGATTATCAAACCATTGACTAACCGTAAAGTCTGCAGGTTATATAACAGGCCAAACATAAATGAGCATGTAGGAGAGCATGTCAGTCCAAGTCAAGTAATATCTGTGTGTGACAACTACACTGTATACTTGTCATGTGCTACAGGACATAGTACAACTTAAAAGTGACAGACTTACAATAAACAACGTATAGAAAATACAACATACATGGTGTGCCAAACTATACCTGACAAAACACAAAATTGAAATACGAATGCCAGCTCACAACACCAACCCATCCCCCAACGATCCACGGTACAGTCATTTTGTTCCTTGTGTAAGATGCTTTCAGTGTTCCTGACCGGTCACCCTAATGAGTGTCCTCAGAGTAATGAGTTACCTCAGAGTGTCCTGGGAGGTTTTTGCTTCTGATTCTTAAATATTGTTCACTTATCTAGGTGTGGGCAAAATTTAAGTTCAATCGTAACAGGAGAAAGTACCGAAATACGTCGGTAAATACTATTTTCACGAGGATGGATTGAGTGTCCACGGAGGAATAAGTGTCCAGGTAAGTGTTCGCGTGCCCGAGAATTTGTTAATCAATATTTTTTACTTCTGTCTTCTTATTCATACATATTTTCCACTTACCTAACTATGTGCAAAATATCAGGTTTACCATAACAGTAGAATGTACCGAAATACGTCGATAACTACTATTTTCATGAGGGTGGATTGAGTGTCCAGGTAAGTGTTCGAGCGCCCGGGAATTCGTTAATCGATATTTTTTCCTTATGTCTGCTGATTCATGAATATTTTCCACTTACCTAACTGTGTGCAAAATATCAGGTTGATCATAACAGTAGAATGTATCAAAATTTATCGTTAATTGTATGCCTACGATAACAGCTAAGAGTTGTACACGTAGTTATATACGAGTTACTTCCCTTCCAAAGCATTCTCTGCCTATTTTGATAGCCGTTACTAAAGGTATTTAATTTTGTAATACTTGTTAATTTCGTGATATATTTATATACATAGTACTTACAACAATGTGTAATAAAATGTCTGTTGCTGTATAATACACCTACGACCATCAACGTATATTGTTTGGTTTCAACAAATGTTATTGTGTTAACAAAAGGATTAGACAACAGGCAGTGCCTATACAAGTCTTCTCCTGAACCGGTACAATATATATACATTTACACTGAATAATAAGGTATATTTACACAATTGTTGTTAATTAATTACTGATTGAGATTATTGACATATTTCACAGAAATCAAGCCTGAAATAAGAATAATTCGGACAGAAAAAGAAACAAGAACAACTGCGCCATCTTGAATAAGATTGTCAATAAATTTATAGAAGTTTAAGTCACTTGCTTTGTGCCTGATTTGACAAAGTATTATATTAAGATTACTAGGATTGCACTGTTTAATGATCAAAGATTAAAGATCTTATACATTAGAATTAATTAATGTTTATGACGTCTTTAATTTAAAGTTTCCATATTTACCTCAAGATATAGTTTTCGATGAGATATCCCACTTTTTACCCCATATAATTTCTATAGCTATCCAATGGTACAGTCATTCCAGATAATATCACCATACCAAAGCACAGGTCTTATATAACAATAAAATAACGTTTCCAATGATTTACTATCGATTTATATTTTTAAGCATTCTCAATTCCGTCTTTGCGTATTGCAGAGTTATCTTCTCTTGTGAGCAGGTATTTATTGTTACCTCATTTGTTTGTGAGAGTAACGTCATCAACTTTTGAGAAAACAACGTTATTTTCCCACACAAACCAATGACGTAACAATCAATACCTGCTCACAAGAGAAAATAACTCTGCAATACGCAAAGACGGAATATGTTGAGTCTAATACAAGTTTTACTAAAATTAACATGAATATCAAAAGTAACCATAAATGTTTTATGGCTTATTTCAACAGGTAATAATTTATGATTAAAGACAAGAGGGGTGTGCTTTCTATTCCTTCTATACACTGTAAAACGTATATACGTATTCAGATTGGAGGGTGTACATATTAATTATATAACAATGTAATTATAAATCATTTATTACGATTAGTCATGTCATTGCAAGGGACTTTTCAAAGACTATCTTTAAGTTGGTTGGTCATTATATATTGTTGGGTTGGGGAAGCGTGTTTTCGAGACATTCAATGACACTTTTTTTGAAAATTGTGTGGCCCTAAAAAGGGCCGTTTTAATCTGAGTAGTTTCCTACTTCATCTGACTGCAGTACAGGGCTAGCTTCAGTTGTCTTGCGTAACGGGTCTCCAATGTCTGTGTTAGGTGGACGCTGTCCTTGAATGCAGCAGCTGTGAGGTGTTGTTGTCTGCGCAGTTTCCAAAATGTAACGTTATCTTCTGTTTTGAATAATTCGCATAGATGCGTGTTTATTCTGGTTCGTTGTATTTCATATTTCTCTGGTGACATATGCCGCAGTCTGTATCACTGGAACAGGCTACCAACTGTCACCCGGCATCCTTTCTCTACAAACATAGCGACAACGTCACATATGTCGCTGACAATGTCATCTTGGTCTGATTTGGGGCCGATGTCGCGGTTTCCTCCAATCTGTAGGAACACCAGGTCGACATCAAGATCACATATTTTCTTCGATAGTAGAAGTGTCCTGGTTGCCCCACGGATTCCTATCAGCTGGACATCGTCGGATTGCAGGAGAGAGTTTCCAGGCATCCTGGCAATGAAGCTGTGTCCAACGATTGCGAAACGCATGAAGATGTTTACAGGTTTACTTGTTGATTTACTTGAAAGAGAGAGTTGTGTCGTGTCGTTCACGTGAAACTATTATCACAACATAATTACCGTTTGCATTGTCCATACAGACACGGGCACGAGACAATAATTATCTTATTATAATTATCTATCACCTTGCCCTAGTAAACAAACAGCGGTCACATGTAAACCCCCCGCAGGGTAGGTTCACCGCCCAGGTGTTATATACGCCCACACATTTATTGTCAGGTGTTAATATTTTATTGTTTATTAGTTTTAAGCCTTGCGGCTCATAGGCATATTTTAACAACATTTATACAATGATATCAATGACATAGAATAATTCTATAGAATAATAATCTTATCCATTTATATATATGTTTATATATATATAAAATAAAATTTGTGAAAATGAAATGCGATTTTACACTTTTGTTGAATAAAAAAACATAGATCACAATCTCATTATACAGTAACAAGACGCTTATAGCAAAACTTTGATATACCTTGTATATTCATAATTTACGACTGTTTCCGAGGCACTGCATTATTTGCGCGTGCAATCTGTATAAGATGACGATTTATCCATAACCCCTCAAAACAGCACAAAAATACACACAAAAATGACCTCATACACATCCTATTATGTCCCCAAAAACACTTTAATGATAGCGTTAAAGCTTTTAAAATTTTACATAACCTTAAGTCTAGCGTTACAAATAACGACCCCTTTAGATTGACATGTAGGCTACGGCTGATCACAATATTATTTTGGGTCGGTAGTCAAGCTTGACATATTTTTGACATACAAAACAATAAGGAATTTTAAATGTAACATCGCATAATTTACGTGTATGAGAGTATTTATTGGGACGGAATGGTCGCTTACCTTCAGATTAGCCTAATATTCTTATAACAGGCACCAAAGAAAACAACGTCAATCACATGATCGGGGTCAATCAGGTTTGCAGATAACGAGGCACGCTTACGCGTTTGTATCAAGAACTATAGCTACCTTGACTAAGTTGGTTGTAATAAAGTAATCACTTCCGGAATATTTATTTCCGTCATTTTGGTACCGGGCCGCTTTCGTTTATCGCGATCCAAACGGTTGAACCAGTTTGACCAGAGTTGTTCGTTTATGAAATAAGGTCGGCCTAGAACTTTCAGGCGGGGCCTTGCCAAGGCCTGTAGTTTAAGACCATTTAAAAGAAATATTTATTATTTCGCAATTTGGTGTTATACCATTTAATCTTTTAGTGTAAGTTAGTAGCCTGTAAATATATTGTTGAATGGACACAACCGATCTTGTATAACTTAGTGTATTTATTTAGCTCACCTATATTTTATTCATCCTATCTATCTATCTATCTATCTATCTATCTATCTATCTATCATAATCTATCTATCTATCTATCTATCTATCATAATCTATCTATCCAAGTTTTGTATGCAAAATGTTTAATTTACGTTCACCGAAACCTAAGTAGATTGGCAGAGGAGATAGTACTTTTGAAGTTAACGAGTTTTTAAAAGAATGTAAAAAAGTCAATGGTCGTACTGAAAGGTCCAATGAATTCTAACTGCGAAGACTTGAAGTTATAAAACTAAGATATCAGTGTAGTCCACTTAAATATGATCTTTATAGGGTAAATATTGTTGATAGTCCAGTTTGTAATCATGTGGCCATTCCTGTGAAAATGCCTTTCACCCTTTTTTGTGAGTGCTTACTTTTTAACGAAGAAAGACGCATCCTGTTCCAAAATTTGAATTCCTTGCATGTTGATTTAGAATTACTTTTGTTTGGTATTATCAGAGACGTATAAATACATGTATTATACGTCTCTGGTAATATTCAATTTTCGGTAGAAATCATTACAAAAGTTTGTAGACAAGTGCATCATTACATCAAATCCAGCAATAGGTTTTGATAATTATAATTATCATTTCTTATTTTTATTTATATGTGTACGTTGTTATATATGTTTATGTTTATGAAATTGCATTTCATTTTTTTGCCTGATTTCTTTGTTACATTGATCTTGTTCATTATAAAATTGCTATACCGGCCGCGTGTCATGAAATTTTGTATAATTTGTAATTTATTCAAATGCGGATCCTTTTCACAGTTTACACGATTTCTTTTCTAGGTCACCCCCATTCCCTATCCCCCCTAAGCCCCTCCCCCCACTCACCCTCCCTTTTCCACCCTATCCCCCTCCCGTTCCCCAAAAACATATACATTGTTTTTACCATATGTATTTAGGAGAGGACTTTATTAAGTAGTAATAGCTTGTTTTCCCATCCATTTGTATATTTGTACAATAAAATATGTTTAAACTAAAAATCTATCTATCTATCTGTAAATTTTAGTATAAATCAATTTTATTGCAACAAAAGACAAATGGATTGGACAAAAGTTATTGCAACTTACTTACGTCCTTTCCGTAAATGAAAATATATATACAAAATTAATGTGTCACGTAATAACCTAATACAAATTTATATATGTATATATATATATAAGATGTTAAAGATGGGTTACAGCAAAAGAGGAAATGATAGGATTAGGGACACCAACGTATAGTGTTTAAATATGTATTCGGAGAGTTTACTTGAGATCGCGTGTGTGATTTTCCCAATCGAGTCGGCGTAAGTAGTATACCTAATCTGTAAATACTGCAACGCCCTCTTTCGACTACTCTGTGCAGCGTGCGCGTCAATGCAGGTTGTTAAAAACGGTATTCTAATGAGTGCAGGGCTACTGGGCTGGCAGTAGTAAGTAAAAGAAAGTGGTAGTGATACATTGTTTATATGGAAACTAATTTGTAGACAGTTACGTTTCAGGTTAAAAGATAAAATATTTGAATTTAAAAACAGGGGTGGCTTGCTAGGGTCTAGGCAAGCTGATGGCGCTAACAGCCTTGAGAGAATCGATAGTAGGACAGGTAATTATGTCAGGAGGTAGAGAGTTCCACTTGACAATTGGCTAGGGGCAAGAATGATATGTGTAATAGTCTTTTGTTGTTTGGTATCTGTCTGTATGAATGTTGATGAGCATTTCTGGAGTATCTCAGTGGATGTTGTATGTATATAAACCAGCCGATAGACAACCTTGTAAAACAGACACAACCTGTCCACTGTATTGGAGAGTTTGCCAACCCAGACTCACCAATATGTCAGAGACACTCGAAAGAGGGAGTGATCACGCTTTAGCCATCGTGCTGCCAGGCGCGTAGCTAGCCCCTTTACCATGTGTAAGCCCCGACATGGGCTCGCCGAAGGCAGCCCCCCCCCCCCCCCCCCCCCCCCCCCCCGAAGCGCGAAGCACGAGCAAGGGGAAGGTACGTGAGGGGTCTTCCCCTCCCGTAAGGGGGGGCGGGGGGGCGGGGGGCTCCCCCATGGAAGTGTTGTTTTCTAGAACGTCTCAGGGGCCATTTCCCACGTCCTGATGTCTGAGATAATGATATGTTGTAAACTATAATATTGTTTTAAAAAAGGGGCCGGACGGTCTCCCCTACACATGAATAATACATGTGTAGGGGGGACCGGGGCAAGACGTTATGGAAGGCATGTACTATACTGTTGAAATGCATATTTATATATGTCATTTAGAAAAGAAATGTATTGTGTTTCATAAACTGATATTATATATATTGGGAATTATTGGACTTTTTAGGTCGATAGGGTTGGGGGCCGGACGAGTCCCGCCCTGAGGCAAATCCGGCTCCTACCAGAGCAAGTATGGCATGCAGGATAGAGAAGACAATTTACTAATAAGTGTATGGAATTTCATTCAATTCTGTTGGAAAATAAGTCCAGAACAAATCAGTGAATACAAAAAAAATATACTTAATTTTGGCGACGTAAAAATATTATTTTTGTGGTCAACTAGGTGACGTTATCAATAGGGACGTCACTTGGCACAATAACAGTTGCATTCGAGGTGGCCGAATGTGCCCCGGCAAAAGGGGCCGAACGTGCCCCAAATTGATATTTTCATAAAACAAAACAAAAAACATTGATTGTCTGTGTCCACTGTGCCAAACTAGGAGTCGTTTGCGCCGGGCGTGAGTTTCTCAATTTACCCAATCGAGCAGTTAGTTCCGCCTGGAACTGTACATTAATGCAATGGACATTTCTAAACTTCATACATTTTTGTACTAACTATTAACAATGTATCATATATGAGGAATTACATATGTATACTATTTATTCAAAACTTAAACTCCACTTTATAGTATCAGCAAGAAAAAGAAAAAACGTCATGAAAACCTATACTTGTCAAAATCATGTGCAAGCCCGGGCTTATTGCAATTGGCTTACATGGTAGCTACGCGCTTGGCTGCTCTGCGCTGGACCATCTCTAGTTGGTTACTAATTAAGCCGTTGTGTTGGAGGGTCCCAGACTCAGGCTGAATACTGTAACTGGGGACGGGCTTTGGTGGTGTACGCCATACTCCTAATTTTTTCGTTTTTAAAAACCCAATGACCTATTAGCCGAACTACTCACCCGATTTACATGTTTATTCCACGTAAGGTTATGTGAAATATCAACTCCAAGGTATTTTGCGTGTGGAACAGTTTATAAAGTTTGGTTGTGAAGTACGTACCTTGACGGAATAGGTTTTTTTATCTTGTAATTTGTATGACCTGACTTTTACTGGGGTTAAATTCCATATTCCAGGTATTTTCACAGACTTGTAACTTTTCAAGGTCTTCTTGGAGTATGGCTGCATCGTTGATATTGTCAAGGGACAAATATAATGCGGTATCATCCGAAAAAAAGACGGACTTCTGATGTTATATGGTCAGGGAGGTCATTAATATAGGCTGAAAACAAGATCGGACCTAATACTGACCCCTGGGGGAACACCGGATATTACCTTGACCTTTAACGATGGTACCTGCCTGAGAGAAAGCCTCTGATCCTCTGGAGGTTGTGTCCCTTTACTCCGTACTGTAATAATTTAGAATGCTTACCTGTATGTACATTTCTTGCAATGTCTTCTATTAACTATAATGTAGACATCCATGTAGACCTATGTTTATTTGCATGCTATGTTTTTCTATGTTTTATACCCATGTTTGTCGCAGAAATACTGAGCTAAAGTTTGTATGTTTATGGTATGCGACGTTAAATAAATAATCTTGTATCGAATCTAATGAGTGTAAAAAGTGAAATAAATCAGACAGAAAGCTAGTTTATAATAATAAACAGCATTTATATAGCGCCCTATATTATTTGTAAAATTACTCTAAAGCGCTTTACAACATATAGATAATAGTATTAGTTATGATTGTTAAACACAAAGCTTACAATCACCACTATACATTAAGCAAGAAGATAATTATCAATCAGAATGAATGATTTGGAGTTTGAGAGAAAAAATGAAAAAGAAAGAGAGAATGAAGGGAAAGGGGCCTCCTGCGTGAGGCTACATTATGTAAGAGGGATGAGCCCGGGGCACCCAAACCCTGGCATCCCTCCCAAAAGATGTGCCTGGGAAGTAAAATCCAATTTTTTACTTTTTATTGTTGTTATAGTTCTGAACAATGTCATACACAAAAATACAAAATTGACGAAAATTACATATTTTGGTATTATATAACGGTGCTTTTAGTTTTGTCGTTGTGACAAAGCGCTGTTGAAAAATTAATTTGTGCTTTTTTCGCCTTTCGAACTTTGACACAAAAAAACGACAAAGCGTCGATTAAAGAAATAAAACTGCGCTTTTTCAGGTTTTATTTTGACCCTTTTGCTTCACATAAACGACCTTTGGCTCGTCTCGCGTATTATTAGGTGTGGTATTAAATACCCGAGGATAATGTGCCAGTGGGTAACCATACTTCAGGTGTCTCACGACTCTGTTCTTCTGGGGAAATACTTTAAGGCCCCGGTCCTCACGACTCTGTTCTTCTGATTCTCTAGGGAAGTACTTTAAGGCCCCGGTCCTCACGACTCTGTTCTTCTGATTCTCTAG